TTCCTACCCTATACAGGTTTGATATGAGTCAGAATTGACTTGACAGCACTTAACAACTTTCTGCAAGACACTTTTATTGGCAGAATCTTCAACCTCTATTTACTATGTCCGCTTTCTCTCTTTGATAGTTCCTTTTCTCTTCCTGGATTAATTGGAATTCAGAAGTTCCAGATATCTGTTTTTCAACTTTCAGTCTCTCTGAAACATACTATAAGAGCAAACTGTGGTCAGCCTGTCCAGCAGGGGCACCACCACTTAGGCAAGATATATTGTACTAATCAATCTGTCCACTAGGAGGTACAGTCCCATCTCTGATTATTACTGCTTCCCTTCGCTGTTTCAGCAGTTGAGTTTTTAGTTGGAAAACCCACACCTAGTGAGTTCCCTTTGAGAGTGGGATGTTACTGTCTGGGTTTCTCTTGTTTCCTTCCCTGTTCTGTGGAGGCTGCTTGTGACTGATCTGGCAGCATTCAGGGGGAGCACAGGCAGACTTTCCTCTGTTTCTGAAAAAAAGAGGGACTGGCACTCCTCGGAAAGCCCTCTAAGAGGTCTGTTTTGGTTTTTCAGAGCCCAGTGACCTTGTGGTGGTGGAGGGAGCAGTTCCCACCTAGGTGACCCAGCTCCTGACTCCACTATAGAGAACCTTCTGTAGGAGTTCCTATCAATCCGGATAGTTACTGGTTGGGGGAGGGATAGTCACATTTGGAATAGAGCCTGTCCTGTAGTATGTTGGCTGTGGGTGTAATTTCTACTCAAGATGTCTGCTTTCTAGCACTCAGCAGCATAGTCAGAGTTAGAATGCTGACTAAGGGAGCAAACGCCACTGTGGAGACTTTCTGTAGCTGTTTGCCCAGCAACCAACAATTACCAGGTAGGGGAGGGGTGTTGTGTTCTGGTCAGATCCTCATAGAGGTCTGCCTTGTTGCTATCAGAGACCCCCCAGGTAGACTGTTGGCTGTTAGTGGAGCCTGCACTCAAGATTCCTGCTTTCTAACACACAGCACCCTCAGTGAGCCAAATGAAAGTGGGCAGACTAACCCTAATTGAACTCCATGGAGGTTTATCTTGTTGGTGTCAGAGGTCAGAGCGAAGGAGTGCGAGGCGAGGCAGGTAGAGTGTCTCCTGTGGAAACAGACTTCACTGTGTGGGTCTTCTATAGTAATTCACAATAGGCTTACAGCCCACAGTGTCTGGGTCCGAGAGGTGCTGACATACTCCAGATAGACTCCCCAGGGAGGGGTACCTTATTGATTTTAGGGCAGAAGTTTACGTTTCTGTCTCTTTGTATGGGCAGGGACTGCAGTGGTTAGGAAAGCATGCTCTTTTTCTAGAGGCTGCTATGCCTGTTGATGGAGTCCTGGCATGGTGCAGTAGGATAAGTATGTACTGGACTGCTAACTGCAAGGTTTGTGGTTCAAACCCACCAGTCTCGCTCCTTGGAAACCCTATACAGGGTCATTATAAGTTGAAATCCACTCAATGGCATTTGGCCACAATAACCCCTATTGATAGCAGCCAACCTGCATGGCTCTGCGAGAGGCAAGGTGGGAGATGGGATGAGAAGAAGTAATTTTCCTACCTTATTTGTTGATTCTTGCCACTCTGCACCCTGCCTCCACTTTCTTCTGTTCAGAGATTTGGCATCTCTCAAAACCAATATATGCGGGAAGGTCCAAGAGATGGTTTGTTAATGCTGCCATTTTCCCAGAATTCTTTTGTACTTTTTTTTCAATAAAGCTGCCTGAATGCCATAATTTAACATTAAGGTAGTTATTTAGCATGAACAGTTGTAACCATAGGAGCCCTGGTGGTGTAGTGGTCAAAGCACTCAGCTGCTAACTGAAAGGTCAAAAGTTCAAATTCATCTGCCTCTAAGCAGGAGAAAGATGTGGTAGTCAGTCTGCTTCTGTAAAGATTTGCAGTCTTTGAAATCCCTTTGGGCAGTTCTGCTCTGACATATAGGGTCCATATGAGTTGGTATCGTCTCAACAGCAGTGAGTTATTATAACCATTGTTGTTGTTAAATGCTGTTGAGTTAGTTCCAACTCATAGTGACCTATATAGTGTTTCTGAGGAGCAGTTTCTGGTGGGTTTGAATTGCGAACCTTACAGTTCAAACCAACTTTGGGGTATTGTGTTTTTCTTATAGCACCACACCAGAACTCTATGACCTTAGAATTTATAAATCTGTAAACGTAGTCTGTCATGGAATCAAAGGAGTTGGAAAGACTAAGTAAAGGATTTCATGAATAATGAAGTTTATTAGTATATTTATGTGAAATTTGGATGTCTTTGAGTGTGCTTTGTCAGATGACTGATTCAGAAGTCTATCTCAGCATGCTGTCAAACCTGTTTTAAAAATAGGTATGAGCCACTCAGTGTCACTGGCAGGTGTTGATACAATGGAAAAACTACTAGTAAGTGAGTTACTGAGCAGATCAAACCACCATTGAAGAAGGTGTTTTTGTTTTAAACAAATAAGGATAATTAAAGACATTTGGAACATTATAGATACCTAGTTCTCTGTTTCAGTTGGTTTTTCGAATGTATTGCTAAATGTGTGATAAGCCAAAGTATATATATATTAAAAAAATCTGTCAAATCATTTTATTTTGAAATAATCTTTTTCTCACTTTTCCTTGAAGTCTAAAACAACTGTGATCATTTAATTAGTTTCTAAGTGTATTAATATATAAATATGGGTGAATAAAATTCCTTTTATACTTTGTATATGAAATGTGTATTATTTATACTCTGTCAGTTTAGACAGGATGTTTGTCTTAGTATATAATATAGAATTTTCATCAATGAAGACTCTAAACTGAATGACAGAGAAATCAAATAGCACAAAGTTGCTAAGGCCTTTTTAAAAAGTCAAGTATAAAGTGAAAAATTTAGATATTTTCATACTTTTAATAGTTTGGATTTTTTGAGGTGGGGAAAGGACTATAATCAGTTTGTAATTATATACAGTTGTCTTGACAAACGAGTATAATGAAGGTTAAATGTATAATGAATAGTCTATCTAGTGGAATATGAAGGCTTTTAAGATGTTTATGGAAAAAATTCCATTAGCTTAATTCCATTTTCCCATGAGCTTTTTGAAGCCATTCATATAGTCAAAAATTAACAACTCCTCTGTGAGACTACTGTGATTGTTTTGTTGGTAAATGCCGTCAAATGGGTTCTGACTCTTAGCGACCCTGTATAGGGTTTCCGAGGAGCAGCTGGTGGCTTCAATCTGCCAACCTTCTGGATCGCAGTCCAGTGCTGATCCTATAGCGCCACACCAGGAGGCCTTGAGACTACTAGGATAGAACCAAAATGGGACTCTTTGTAAGTCAATAAAGGAAAAACTTCCCAGAAAACGCTGGTGAGAGAAATGAAGGTAGTCTCCCTGAAGGAGAAACTACAGTGGAGGTGAACTCTAAATAATCCATGTGTGTGTAGTTGAGAAATGACAGGTAGCTGTTTTTATTTTAAATGTTAACAGAAGCTGATTGTATGTATTACGTCTTTAGACTATGTGTCATGTTTAAAAAGGAAATGTAAGTACTTCCTAGTTCCTAGATTGGAGTCCTGGTGTGGTGCTGGAGAATAAGCTGTTCACTGGAGACTCTATATAGGATTGCTACGAGTCAGAACTGACAAGATGGCACTTAACAACAACAGCAGTGAGTTAAAGAAGGAGTTAGTAATATCCTAGGAAAGGTTAAAAAAAAAAATCTGGTTATAATACTGTAAGAAATACGGGTATTAATTAAGTAAATTCTGCTTTAAATTTTTAGAGATTGACCATCTGAACATTTGAACTTGCTTGTAATAATTTTCTTCAGATTTGAATCCTAATATGCTCAAGGAAATATATATGCTCCCAAGAATGGTCTGTAAAGCCTCTGGTGTTTTGTTTTCCCTTGCCAAATTCAGTAGTGGTAGCTTCTTTACAGTTGTAGATCTGTGTGTGCTTGGTAGGGTGCTTGACTCCCAGGATTTCTATGAACTCCTATGGCGGCCTTGGATGATTTTGGTTAGTAATGAGTTCAAGGACCATTATCTGCACTTGAATCTGTTTTAGGATAGTCCTTAACGCCATACCAGAGGTGTCCTCCGTGCCAGTGTCATCTTATGACCAGTAGTACTTCAGAGTTAACTGGAATTCTATTTAGGGATAAGCAAACATCCAGTTTAGTACTCAATATTGTTTTATTGTTATTGTTAAGTGCCATCTAGTTGGTTTTGATTAATAACAACCCTGTATAGGGTTTCCAAGGAACAGCTGGTGAGTTTGAACTGCTGACCAGTGCCTATCCTACAGTGGCACACCAAGAATACAATACTATTTTAGACAGACGTAAAATGATGGTTATGAAATGGTCTGTGGTAAGTTTGTAAATATTAACAAGCTTTTATATCTGGAAAGTCCTTGCTATTAATTATTCCTGTGTAATTCTAATATTGGCTTAGTGGTTAACATACTTTATAATTAGCCTTCTCCAGTTATTTAATTTTCATTCAATTTTATGTTTACTGAATATCAGAAAAAATTTGATATGATTATAAATTTTGGCATTTTTGTTAAATTATCCTCTAGCAATAATAGTTGATAGTACTTGTTCCTTGATAAAACTACAGCAAAAACTGATCTGTTACTGAGTGAATAAATGGATTTCTATTGTATGTGAATTAGTTAATGAAAAACTTCTAGTATATACTAGAAAATTCTGGAATTTATTTTATAGACTTAGTTTTTTAAAACAACAACCTATTTATAAGAAAAGTCAAGTTTTTTATTCATTCAGAAAGAACATTTTATTATGGCAACTGATTTTTGTTTACTTATGAGAACCTGTTGCTAAAATAGTAATGAGGAAGGGTGTAATATAAGTACAGTCATGCACCCTTTGCTCTGGAAGTAAGCAGAGTACTATGTATGCATGCTGTTCAGTCTCCTTTTGGAAGGTGGAAGTAAAGTTGTTTGTATGCTTTTCTTTCTTGCACAGCCTAAAATGACTAATGTGTGATGTCGATGGAATAAATGGCGTCCAAAGTCACAGATGCTATAGTTTGGTATCAAAAGAAGGTAAGTTGATATGATAGTCAAAGGTTTTAACTTTAAAAAGATTTTTATTATAAAAATGTTTATTAATTTTGTGCTATGATTGATGTGAAATATAACCACCTAAAATAATGACAAGATAAATTTTAGGATCTTCTAAATAGTAGGGGAAGATTATTTTGGTTTCCCTTGTGCTAATTTTACTTGTAAGTAAATTAGAAAGATGATGCTTAAAAATATGTTCTGTATTTTTGTTTCCACGTTGTCAAATTACCTAGATTAACTATTATCAGTTATAAATAAACCAGTGTTCTGGCTTATGGATATTAGTAGCATTTTATAACAATATTAAAATTTTTCTTGCTTTAATTTCTGTTACAATTTTATATATAGCTTTCATGTCAGGAGAAGCTTCAGTTTATGGTCAATTTCTTATAAGTTATAATTCAACAACTCAGGCTTTTCAGTAAAATGAGTCTTTGGAACTATTTTTATTTTCCATACTGGGGAAAGAAATGTTTATTTTGATGTTTTAGAATGAGTTGTGTCATCCTGTACATTTAAAACTAAACATCACCAATGTAAGCTTTTCTTTTATAAAGTCCATAAGAATAAATGCCTTATTCTGAAAATACAGTAAATTATTTGCTTGTGAAGAGTGTTGTGTACATTCTCTAAAACGTATGCTGTTATATGTAGTATCAGATCTTTAGTAAGTTAGGGTGTAGCGAGTTATATTTGTTACAATATTTTGATGCCTAATTCTTGAGGTTGCTATTAACAAAAATATCATTAAATATTTAAGATTTTTTTTCAATATTTAAGGTTTTTTTCAAAACCAGACTACTGAAAAAATTTAGTTCATTTGGAAATAAGTGCTTAATTAAAACATTTTCAAGATGATGCATTATTTGTTTTCTGGGTAGATATGTCACAGATATACAATATCATGTTTTCTACATAAAGTACCTGATTAGAAGTATTGGTGTGAGTCATCTCATTAATTTAATCTTTTATGGTTCTGCATAAATGTTACTTTAACATTTATTAACTTGCAGTTAACATAAAAACTATCCATTAGCTAAAGATTACTCTGAAATAAAAGAAAACTTGAAAAGAAATATTTTCCACATAGATCTTTGAAAGGTTTGCTCTTTTCTCTGTTTTTTACTTAGTGAGAGTTAGTAATGTTTATAAACATTTTCAGTATTTTTATTTATGTTTAACATTTCAGACTTCACTGAAAAGCATTTATAGAACATAGTGGGTTAAATTATTTTTCTTGAGTTAGGAGGGGTTGAAATATTGTACTCACCTTCTGTTAGCATAGTGACTGCTTCTTCTCTTAGTGGAGGGGCATTGATCCAGCACTTTTGTGCAACCAAAACATTATCCTGAGAAACCATCACAACTGTCACCAAATGTAGCAGATGCCATTGTTGCCAGAACTATTAACCGTAACTGATTTGCCTTGTTTTTTTTCTCAATTATTTGTATGTTTTCCTTGGATAATTTGAAAGATCAGTTTGACTTGCAAAAAATTAACAACAGTTTATACTAACTATGGAGTCCTTGTGGGTTAATGTGCTGTGCTGCAAGGTCAATTTGAACTGCAAGGTTTATGGTTCAAGCTCACCAGCCACTCCTCAGAAACCCTATACCGGGTTGCTATGAGTGGGAACCGACTCAATGGCACTTAACAACAACAACAACAACAACAACGTACTAACTTTAACTTTAACAACAACAACAACAACAACAACAACAACAACGTACTAACTTTAACAACAACAACAACAACAACAACAACAACAACAACAACGTACTAACTTTAACTTCTCTATTCTTACCTGTCCTCTTGAGTTCTGTTCACCAGAGACAGTGCATTAAGTTATTAGAGCTCAGTGGTTTTCAAATGAGAATTCTACAACCCCACATCCTTTGTAGGGACTTGGAAGGGTTGTTGTTGTTAGTTGCCATTGAGTTGGTTCTGACCCACAGGAACCCTCTGTACAACAGAACGAAACACCTCCCAGAACCTGTGCTATTGTCACAATTGCTGCTACACTTGAGCCCATTGTTGCTGCAGTTGTACCATTCTATCTCATTGGGGCATCTCCCACTTTTTTGCTGTCCATCCACTTTACCAAGCTTGTTGTTTTTTTCCAGGACTGGTCTTTCCTGATAATATGTCTGAAATGTAAGAGACGAAGTCTGGCCATCTTGGCTTCTGTGTAGCATTCTGGTTGTGCTTCTTCCCACACAGATTTATTTGTTCTTCTGGAAGTCCATGGTATCCTTAATATTTTTCTCTGACACCATAACTTAAATGCATCAATTCTTCTACAGTCTTTCTCATTGATTGACCAACTTTCGTATGCACATGAGGCTATTGAAAATACGATAATTTGGGTCAGGCACACCTTAGTTCTCAAACTGGCATCTTTTCTCATGAACACGTTGTAAAGAGATCTTGTGCAGCAGATTTCCCTCATGTAGTACGTCTTTTGGTTTCTTGACTGCTGCTTCCATGAGTGTTGATGGTGGATTTAAGCAACATGAAGTCTTTGACAACTTCAATCTTTTATCCATATGTCATGATGTTATTTATTGGTCCAGTGGTGAGGAGTTTTATTTTCTTAACATTGAGGTACAACCCATACTGAAGGCTGTGGTCTTTGATCTTCATCAATAAGTATTTTAAGTCCTCTTCACTTTCAGCAAGCAAGGTTATATTTTCTGCATATTGCAGGTTGTTATTAAGTCTTCCTCCCAATTCTGATGCCACTTTTTCTTCATATAATCCATCTTCTTGGATTATTTGCTCACCATGCAGATTGAGTAAGCATGATGAAAGAATATAACCCTAGCGCACATTGTTGCTGATTTTAAAGCAAGGTCAGCAGTTTGAAACTACGAGCCATTGGCAGGAGAAAGATGAGGCTTTCTGCTCTACTAAAGATTTACAACCATCTTATGTCAGCCATGATTTGATGTCCTCACGTGAATCCAGCTTGAGTTTCCTGTCCGTGTACTGTTGCAGGTGTTTTTGAATTATCTTTTGCAAAAATTTACTTGCCTGTGATATTAATGATATTGTCTGATGATTACCACATTCCGTTGGGTCACCTCTCTTTGGAATAGGCACATATATGGTTCTCTTTCAATCAGTTGGCCAGATAGCTGTATTCCAAAGTCCTTGACAGAGATGAGTGAGTTCCTCCAATGCTGCATCAGTCTGTTGAAAGATTTCAGTTTATATCCTATAGCCTTATTCTTTGCAAATGCCATAAGTGCACATTGGCCTTCTTCCTTCAGTACCATAAGCTTTTTTTTTTTTTCCTTAAATGTTTTATTGTGAATTATGTGATAGTTTACATGGGAGAACATTAGTTTTACATTCATTCTATCGTATATTGTCTCATTGCCAT